TATACCTGCTCATCAATTATATCAAACTAAACTACAAAATACAGGTAAAAGAAAATGGATTTAATTAAAATCCAAGTAATGTGTATTTTCAAAATACAGATAAACACTGTTTACAAACAGATATTATCACATTGTAGGCATGTTTGACTTACCACCAGCAGAGTATGATATAATACAAAACAGTAGAGGAGAAAGACAAGCTAAGAAACAACTGATTTAATACGTATTTTAAACACATTAATTGAAATACTGCCCATCTCTGCATGTGGATACTTTTTTGGTTTAAAAAGTTAAATGAAAATATAAAGTAAAATTTCCTAACTTTTACTTGTGTCGGCTGACATTTCAGCCCCTGACATTACCTTTGTACGATGTAATATTGTTTGTTTGTTTGTTTGTTTGTTTGTTTGCAGGTTTTTCTCTTACTTCAAGGGTGTTGAGGTCACAGACAACTGCCTGGTGAACGTTTACCCTGTTGGTGAGGACTTTTACGCTGTAACAGAAACCAACTACATCACCAAAGTAAATGTCGACACCTTGGAGACGCTGAAGAAGGTACATCAATACTAATACGCATTTGAGGTTTAAAAAATGATCTTAACAGTACATTAAAAGCACAGTAAAATGTCTTTATTTGTATCCAGGTTGACATGTGCAACTTCATCAACATTAATGGAGTGACAGCCCACCCTCACATTGAGAGGGATGGTACAGTGTTTAACATTGGAAACTGCATGGGAAAAGGAGCAACGCTGGCCTACAACATTGTCAGGATTCCACCCACGCAGAAAGGTGCGGATCAGCGCTGGCATCACCACACATGACAACAACAGTTAACAGCAGTGACCTCTCAGTTCCTCTGTTTAACCAAAATATGCTGCTGAATGGTAATTCAGGGTTAAATGAATCACTGTGACCCCTCTTAAAAACTAGAAATATGGTTTATAAAAGATGCTTTCTCTCTCAGGGTCAGTCCCTCCAAGCTTGCTAAATTGAAATGATTCAAAATATTCTTCTTTTTTATTTCAGATAAGTCTGATCCCATTGAGAAGTCCAAGGTTGTGGTGCAGTTTCCCAGTGCCGAGAGGTTCAAGCCCTCCTAAGTGCACAGGTGTGTCAGACTCAAAGTTTTGTCAGTAATGCATTTGGTATGTTAACAGTGTTGTCATGGAAATTTCTGACATTCTCTCCTCAATCATTTCAGCTTTGGCATGTCAGAGAACTACTTTGTGTTTGTGGAGACCCCGGTGAAAATCAATCTGCTGAAATTCATGAGTGCTTGGAGCATCCGTGGCTCCAACTACATGGACTGCTTCGAGTCCAATGAGAGCCAAGGAGTAAGACCTTGCAGTAGATTGACGTCTTTGGTGATATCATCATCATCTTTGCCCCTGAAATCTCATGATATATTCTGATGTGTGTGTCGCAGACCTTGTTTCACATTGCCAAGAAAGACCCAGGAGAGTACATTGATCACAAGTTCAAAGGGGCACCCATTGGCATGTTTCATCACATCAACACCTATGAGGACCAGGGCTTCATTGTTGTTGACCTCTGTGGATGGAAAGGGTAAATGTTGGGCTTTAATTTTAAACGTCCTGTACAACATCTGCAGATTTTGAGATATTATTGTTCACGACTCGTTCATTTGTGCAGTTTTGAGTTTGTCTACAACTACCTCTGGTTGGCCAATCTGAGAGCCAACTGGGAAGAGGTGAAGAAAGCAGCCATGATGGCGCCTCAGCCGGAGGTTCGCAGATACGTTATTCCCCTGGACGTCCACAAGGTGAGTTCCTCTCATTAGGACACCTGTGGGAGCCCGTTTCCACCAGTGTGATGTAAAAAGATCCTGTAAGTCATTATAATGACAAACTTTCTCAAAATAACAAGTTAGTACTCATTATTTTGAGAAAGTTTCTGATAATTTTGAGAAACTAAGTTATTATTTTGAGAATGTTTCTCATTATTTTGAAATGCTAGGTCATATTTTGAGAGTGTCTCATTAGCTTGATATGCTAACTTATCATTCTGAGATGCCAACTCATTATTTTGAGATGCTAAGTCATGTTGAGGGAGTTTCTCATTAGCTTGAGATGCTAATGCTAATGCTAAAGCAACACGACAGGCTTCAAGTCATTTTTAAAGAAAACCAGTGACATGAAGCGTCAAACTGACACACGACACATGCGGTATGATGTGCTACAAATCAAAGTTGAGCTAGCCTCAATCTTTTTAGCACTCCAATGACGCAGTGAAGCATCAACCAATCATGTGTTTTTGTTTCTAGCTGTGGTACTGTATTATTGAGCATAGTTAGCTGACTCTTTGCTGACTTTATGTGCATTGTGATGCACACAGATGCAATGCAGCGGCAAATGTGATGCTAAAATGGGGCTCAGACATTGATCAAAAGCACAAATACTTTTAAGACCTAATACAAGCTTTAGATGGTGTTCAGTCGAGGTGCTTTGTGGCGAGTAGCAGACACACAGAAGCCTGTGACAGTGTATCATGGCCTTCCATTGTATGCAAACTACTAAACTGCACAGATAAGTCTTATGTTATATGTTCTCATCTCATTGTGGACTCGATGCAGGAGGAGCAGGGGAAAAACCTGGTCAGTCTGCCGTACACCACAGCCACAGCGGTGATGCACGCTGATGGGACCATCTGGCTGGAGCCGGAGGTGCTGTTCTCTGGGCCACGCCAAGGTGCGACACACCCAACAAATTTAACTTAATCATAGTGGACACATTCATCTTGAAAATCTTCCTTGTGTAATAATTTCAGTGTTGCTTTTGCAGCCTTTGAGTTCCCTCAGATCAACTACGAGAGGTACGCAGGGAAGAATTACACGTACGCCTACGGTCTGGGTCTCAACCATTTCATACCAGACAGGGTAAGTTCACAAAATACCTTCAACTTTACGCGATTCTGATTGTATGAAAGCTTTTTCATGAACTAATTTGGTTGTGTGTAGATCTGCAAGTTGAATGTGAAGACCAAGGAGACCTGGGTATGGCAGGAACCGGACTCCTACCCCTCGGAGCCTCTGTTTGTTCAGACTCCTGATGGAGTAGATGAGGATGATGGTATGTTAATAACAGCTGTATAAACACAATATATTTAATCCTTCATTCACTATGATGCAAACTGTTTTATGATAATCTGGTTCTGTGTCCTCAGGAGTGCTGCTCACCATTGTGGTGGCCCCCGGCTCCCAGAGACCAGGGTACCTCCTCATCCTCAACGCCAAGGATCTGTCTGAGATCGCCAGGGCGGAAGTGGAGTGCAGCATGCCCGTCACCTTTCATGGGATGTACAAACCGTAATGATGCTGGCCTCAGGTTGTTAACAGCAGTCAGCCATGACAGGCGCCCAGTATTAAAAACAGGATGAATAATGACAGTGTGGTTGTATGTTCTCATTGCAGTTGACCTCGGTTGTTAAAGGTGATGTGTACGATATTCAGAGCATTAATATAGTTGCAACTATTTGCTATGTCAAGATATAGTGGAGTAATGGCATCCCGAGCAGAGAATGAAGTCATGCTACCTTTGTATGTGTTGTAATCTGAGCTTCTCTGTACTTTGTTGTGATAGCTGTTTTGGCTGTGTGTTGCATGTTAGTGCATACGAGTCCCACTGTGTATCCCACTGACTAGCTCTGCACTGAACTCATACAAGCAAGAACTCCTAATGACACCAGCGTTGCAGAAGCGTAGACTCACCCTCCATTAGCTCTGTCAGCACTGTTGCTGCTGTTAGTGCTGTTAGCATGTTAGCTGCTAGCTGCCGGCTGAACCACCTCCATTTTGAGAGCTGTGTGGATTCAATCCCAGCTCAGACCCTGTATGCTCTGAATGTCACAAACAGCTCCTTTAAATAAAAATAGTATGTGAATCGACTTGTCTTTTTGAGTCTAGTTGCTGCATATACTAGAATTTATAAACCTGTATTATCAGCATTGGTTCAATAAAAAATTTGTTCACATGTTGTGTCACATGAGTATTTCATGGTTGGAAAAATAAACTTGTCGAAATCAAAATGTGGTTGTTTCATACTTTATTATTTGGTAGGAGGAAAATGCGCTCTCAGCTAGGGTTCAGTCTGTAAAACTGGATATTTACTAGTTTAAACACTTAATTACAAACTCGTGCTGCTGACCCTGTGTAGCAATTTTAGTGGTTAAAATAAATTGGCGTGTTCTTAAATCAAGCAGGCATTTCTCTTGATAAATCGTAGATTAATTGGCACTTTTTGTACAAACAATCAGTACAAAATAATCCTAAATTCTTGAGATATTTGTAGAGATTTTAATGTGTTGCCACACAAAATCTGGCTCGGCTCGAACAATAGACCTTTCCATATCCGTCCTTGTGTCTGAATCTGATGGAGACATTGCAGCATTATAAAGCTGATTAACTGTGTCACTGCTTAATCTGTGGAAAGAAAGAAAGCAAGGAGAGAAAGGGCATGTTGCAAACCATTATTCCTTGTGAGTCAATAACGCTGGATGTGTGGCTCTTGTATAAAATGTCATGACGTCCACAAACCACATTTAATTATATGTAAGATTCATGTGTTTGGTTTTAATGGATCTTGAACGGACTGGTTCAGAGGATTTACCCTCCATTCGTCTAATTACAATTTCACCCTGATGTTTGTGCGTCATGTATAAAACACTTAACACTCCCTTTGACTCACGTGTTGCCTCTCCCGCTGATGCAAGCCAAGGAAACAAAGCATCAAACATTATTAATATGGCTTGGGCTCGCTTGCTACATCAGTCAAACAGAGAACCCTGATTATGTAGTCACGTTTTCCACTCCACTGCCAGATTTTGGGATTGCATTAATGAAAGGCTTAAAGGAATATTTTTCAACTGTGTGTTCTGTAATCTCTCCTTTTGGTAATCGTTGTGTGCATTCAGTCAAGTTTCCCTCGCCGATGCAAACAGATTTTTTAAATGAGAAAAAAAAAACAGTAAGAAATATTTTTTCCTCTTTATTTTATTTTTTTTTTTTTACATGACGGCATTTTAGCCTTCCAAAAAGAAAGAAATAAAACAAGATTACAGGAAATATTAATTTTCTGAATAAACTTAAAATGAAAAACACAGCAAAGGAAAAGCTCGATGGAAAACTTAATCTCAGTTGTAACTAATCACACCATAAAAGAAGTCCCTCACACTCTGAAATTCATTTGGGACAGAGGTTTACACAGTCAGGCTTGAACCAGTGTAGAAGTTATACTGTCCTAAATACAAAGTGGATTTTACACAAATATAACAAAAAAATGTGAAGGTAGAAGATAAAACAGGTAACAGAGAAAAGACGCCACACAATGCCACAAATAAAAAAAGGAAATTTCTGTAACTACTGATCCAGTGAATGGAAATAAACAACAAACAATTACACTGTGAGAAAAATAAAAAATGAATCAAATTTAGCCTTTTTTCTGTCTTAAAGGAACTGTTAGACATTTTGATGAATGTGTTAATTCGCTTTCTTGCCAAGAAATGAGCAGTTTGATATCTGTCTCATATCTGTACATCAAATATGAAGCTAAATGAAGGGGGCATTAATCTTAGCTAAGCATAAAGACTGGATAAAGGGGGAACAAGATAGCCTGGCTCTGACCAAAGTTCAAAAATGTTCCTATCAGCACCTCTACAGCTCATAATATAAGCAGGATATATCTTGTTTGATTAATCTGTACTTTTGCATGCTTTTCAATTTGTTGTCACACATTTAAATCCCTGAAAAACCACAAATTACAGAGCTACACAGGTACTCAAATGTGTATGTCTGAGCGTCGGAGCAGTTTTCCCCCACTAACAGTCTATATGCTAAGCTAAGCTAATCGCTTCCTAGCTCCAGCTCCTTACCAATGCACAGAATCATTGACATCTTTGCATTTAACTCTAAATACGAAAGTGAATAAGCACATTTTCCAAAATGTCAAACTTCCCCTTTAAACTGGAGCAATCCTCTGTCCCATCACTTACACAAAAAAACCCCACACAAGAATCAAAAGTCAAGCAGAACGAAGCGGAGGCTCACACTACTGAATCACAGATTTCATGAAATACATCTTCAGGCTTACTTCAACGTGATAAGTGACTACTGATAGCTTTGAAAATACCCTTTCAGCTATGTAACTTTTGCATCTCAGGAAATAAAGGAATGAAGTATTGATAGTGCAAGGTTATAAGGTACATATATTAATATATTGTTTAGATACTGTCCTATAAGTAAAGTGCAAATCTCTGGATCAGATGAAAAGTGTGTGCAAGCATTTCTAATTTTTGTCGGACTGATCCACCTGCCCATGCACAAATGAGCCCTTTACATTGGCTGCCAGCTACTTTAACACACCGCCCGGTGAAACATTCACATTAAACATCGTTTTCCCTTCAGCTCAAAGCACTTTCTTTAAAGTCTGGCCATTTGGAGTGGCCGAATATCATGCAGCCTTGATCCCCTTTAGGTGTACATAGTGTACTTATAAACTTTGGGTGATTTCTGTTAGTTGTGTGCATAATTTTTTTGTAATCCTGACAAACTGGGGAGTGAAGTCTTTAGTATCTAACACCAACAGTGTAAACTTCAGCTGTATATCCCCATACCTCCCACGAGTGTAGGGTCGTTTTAATGTGGGATCAGGAGATCAGTATGTTGAGGAAGTTTTACTGTAGCCACAGGAAACTTAAACAGATTTCTGGCAACACCTCGTAGCATTTTGGTCAATAATCTGTCAACCAAATTGAATTTACTGAAGACTAATTGGGAATGAAGGTAAACTGGGATCAGTTCCCCAACTGATCCCAACACCACTGAGGCCGGCTCAAGTGGAAATGCACTGTCATCAAACAGCCCTAGCAGCTCTCACACACACACCCTACGTGCTCGCCGTCAGCATGACAAACACACACAACACACAATCGTGCAGGGTCGCCTGGAAACAGTTTCGTACTGACTTGTGTAACTACTGTTAAAGACCAGCTCATTACTTAGACCGGGGGGCATGAAAGGCCAACGCTAGGTGAGTACATTTTGAATGTTTCAAAGTGCAAGAAAACAGCCAACACATTTATTTTAAGCTCCTCTCACTCTATAAGAGGGCAACTGTTGGGTTTGTGTGTGTGTTTGGGGCTGGAGGGGCTGTGTTTGAGCTAAGCTTGGGGGGGTGGAGGGGTGAAAAATTAGTTGGTCTCGTAGGTGGAGAGCAGGGCAGCATCCACGGGCTCCATGCAGGAGGGGCAGGTGAAAGATCTCATCAGCCAGTCGTCTATACAGTCCATGTGGTAGATGTGCATACATGGGAGGAACCGGATGGGGTCCCCGTATACAAAGTCCAGCATACAGATCACACATCTGAAAACAGTTGAAATAAAGAGCTTGAATACAAACCAGTTTAAAGTTGTTATTGTAATGTGAGGCTACAGATGTGTAGCCCAGGCAGACATGCACCTAAACCATAGATCTGTTTTGCGTTTCCACGGCAGACAGTACTCTTAAATGTAGGCGGGGTTCTTACGGGATGGTAACACTGCTCCATCCAGCTCTCACTGTGTTTCCCCTTCACGGGCGGGTGCAGAGGAATGTCTGCACCTCGCTGATTGTCCATGGAACAACAGCATTTTCAGAACAAAAAAGAACAGGCTAAAGTGTTTAAAGCAGGAGTGTCCAAAGGGCCAGATTGGAAAATGTGAAAATACCAAGGGGCAGCTTTTTTCTCACGTCATAAAGGTTATTAAGAGACAAGTACAACTGTTTCATCTTCCACTGAGAAAGTACTCAACTTTCCACCACTCCTGAAAGGAGCAGCCCTCGCTGTCGACTTTAAACTGCTTTGCTGTGGTCACATCCGCTACCTGGAAATGTCTGCGGTTAGGTAACCATTTGTTTGCTTGTTTCCTGTTTGTTTATGACAACACACTGACTCTGTCTGCTTCGTTCCTACTTGTGCACGTCTACAAACTGTTTCTGGTCTCGCCACTGTGAGGTTAGCAGAATAAATGCAAAGTGATCTTGCTTGATTAACCAATATTGTGTGGCGGACAACAAAGAGTCTAAAAGACAAGCTGCAGGCTGTTTAAAATGTGCTCACAGGCCATGATTGGCCCCCGGGCTGGACTTTAGACATGCCTGATTTACAGTCTCTGTCCCAATTGATGGTATATTTCAAAATAGCAGGTTTGTGCATTGAGTCGTGTAGAGCAAGAGTAACAATTCTCTGTGACCAGTGTTTCTAGCTCCACCTTTTAGTATCAGATCAGAACCTCAACAGAGGGGTGCAGAAAAAATGGTACAGAATGGGCAGAATACTGAACCAGGCTGCTTGGTGGGAACGAGGCTTTAGATTATAGTGATATCTTTATATAACTTTCCTGCTGCCTCTTGCTGGTCTTTAGGGATTCATTACAGTTACGTAGAACTGAAATGATTCATGAAGTAATGTAATTCAGTGACAAAAAAAATATTGGCAATAGTCAACTCATCATTTAACTTAATTCATCAAACAACAATGTCAATGTTCTCTGGTTTCAGGTTCTGAAATCTGAGAATTTGCGGATTTTCTCTGTTTTATATGATTTTATATCAGTGGAAATTATAATATACATATTGTACAATAGCACTTTTAAGACTCGTATTTTTTTGTTTAGCCTATAAAGTGTCTGAAAACAGTACAAAGGTTACTGTACCTGTTTCCCAGGGCCTAAGTTGATGTCTTAAAATGGTTTGTTTGTTCGACAAACAGTCTGAAATCTAAAGATATTTCATTTTAAATTATATAAAATAGAAAAAGAGAAAATCCTCACATTTAGAAGCTAAAACTAGCTAATGGTTGGCAATGCTTCTACATAACTAACTCTGAAATTAAGTTTATTTAAACAGCCCAAAATCAGACATTTTTAATGGAATAACATCCTTTTTTGAGATTAAATATTAGTCACATTTAAAAAGTGTCCCACTAAGGATATTGAACACAAAAAATATGCCTGCATTAGTTAATATCGCTCAGCGGTATTGACCTGCATCCTGTCTCCGTGTTAACATCACAAAAATACAAAATGCTCACTCTCTGATCTTCTTCTCTGAGCCGTCTTGCCCTCCATCATAAACACCCTTAGGGAGGTGCTGAATGAGGCCGATGCGCTGAGCTATGCGGATCTGCTCCTCCTCTGTCAGCTGGGTGGCCAGACGGGCCTGACTAGGCGTGGGATGGTACATGGGCATGTGAGCCTGCTCCTGGTAACAGACAAAAGACACACCGACATGAAACAAAAACATTTATCCTCCTGTATCAGCTCACTTTGTCTGTACAAAGTGGTCTGACTGGTGAGGCTCTGTACGGGGATAAACTGAAAAATAAAGCAGCTGTCTGGTCTGGACATTCTTGACAGGCCAGTCCATTTGCTCTGCCGAGAAAGTAAGTGGCCGCAAACTGCCATCTTGCCTGGACTTGTGCGCCTCCAGGACCCTGAGGTGGGCAGGAAAGATTGCCATCAACCCCTTCCACCCTGGACACAAACTCTCTGACCCACTCTCCTCTGACAGGAGGCTGCAGCCCATCAGGACCATGACCTCACATGACAAAAACAGTTTCTCATCTGCAGCTGGCCTCATCAACAAGGCCCGGGACTCCTAGTGACATGGACACTTACCCCGCTCCTCCTTTGCATGTTCCTTGGACAATATTTTGCACATTTCTGAACACATTTTCAACTTCTAAAGACTATACACTTCTTTGGTTGTGATTCAGATGTTGCACATATTTGTAATGTTCTTCTATTCTATATTTGTGTCTTGATTTTTGCAATACTTGCTTATAATTTCAATTTCATTGTCTCTTAATATGTTATGCACAACACTTCATAGCAAATTCCTTGTACATGCAAAACTACTTGGTAATAGACCTGATAATGACTCCAAATCCTGTTTGTTTACTCAGGTATTATATATTATTCTTAGAAAAAGGCCACAGACATGAAAAGCGTGATACATGCATATTTTCATAACATTGCCCACTGCATACGTACATTTTGTTTTATTTTCACAATCATTTGTCCAACGTGTGGCAGACACTTAGCTTTTATTTATCTAATAATCCCTGGGAAGTGAGTGTCAGCAGTCTCTCACCTGGTACGGCGGAGGTGGCTCCAGGTCAGGGTCTGTCCCATCTCCGAAACTCGCCCTGTCTGACTGGGAGTCATGAAGCAGAGAAATGTCGTCCGATGTCGGAGACTTGAGACAGTTGCCCATATCTTCGTGTCTCCAGTCCTCTCCTGGCCGACGCAGAAAATCAGATCTTTGTTGCTAAAGTTGCTCTCGGTGGCTAATGTTAGTTTTGTCTAATATCCCAGAAACCATTAATTTACAGTTCAACTACACACTACTAAAGACACCATGTGCATGATTGTAAAACTCCTACATTAACGTTGAATGTTAAAGCAAATGTCCACGCTAGTTTCTCTTCATGTATACACGGACCTCCACCTGAAAAACAAAACAAAGAACTCCCTTGCTAACGGCAGCTAGCAGCTAGCCTAGCTAGCTACTTTTTCGCTAGCCAGCTGGACGACTTCCTTGATAAGAATCGCTCATTCCTTTCTGAGAATCACAATTTCTACAAACTATATACTTCAGCAGCAGCTGTGGCTATTATACCAAGCGGCCTGGGTGCTGGACTGCAGCGACATTTCCTCCTTTTAACTTCGTGAGTAACATTAAACAGTTTGCTTCCTTGCTAGCTCTTTCTTCAACCGGACGACATGTTATCGGTCCGTTGGATATGACGTCCGGGTGATTCTGTGCGGTGATTGGATGATTTCCCCAACGTCATTCTACGAGCAGCCTAAGTCCCGCCCCTTTTAATCATGAAAATAATAAATACAAAATAATGATAGAGAACATTGTAATGGGTAAGATGTGGGAAGACGCCCCCATGAGAACAAAGTCAATTTACTGTAAAATTAAAAATACTTGGATATGATTTAAGCATGTGCAGAGTGATGATGCAGAAACCCACACACTGATGGGAGGAATAAATTGGTAGAGTAACCAGTTTTGTTGTAACAGCACAAAAATGAAAATCTTGTTGCCCCACTATTGGCCATTTGAATGACTCTCCCCACAAATCCTCCATCATCATATATAAATAAAGCATTTTATGTATAACTTAATATTGATACCAAAATCTATTTATTGAAGATGTACATTTTAATTTAACTTGGTTATTACCGTACAATTTATGTAGGCTATGCCCTAAAAAGTCCAAGGTATACATTTAAAAATCAAGCACAGCATTCTTTAACCCTGCCTCCTTTTTTAATCCCATGCCTCTATTTGTAAAAATGAGCCACAATCTTTCACCTATCTTTTCTTTAGTTGGACTTTTACTGCAAAATTTTACCAAGATTTTTATTGTTTTTTTTCCACTCAACATGATAAGTAACATTTTAATCTTAAATAATGTCTGTTAAAGGTGTTACAATCTGTTTAAGATGTAATACATCAGCGTATGGCCTGTGGTACAATCAAATGAGCACTTAAAAATACAACTGCGCCTTCGACTGATTCGTCTTTGAATGATGGCCCATATTTAATTTTGATAAACTAGTTCTCTATAGTTTACCTTCTGTGCTCCTGATATATGTGACTTGCACTCCCAGCAGAATTATTATGTCCCTAAGTTTTATGTAATCCTGTGTAAAATATACTCTATTAATGCTTTTATTTCATGCTTTAAAAAAATCTTTTCTTCAATTGTAATATTTCAGTTAATTTTAAGTCAGATTTTGTACTTTTTCACCAATGCAAGTAAAAATTAAATCTGTCTAAGAGGTTATTGTATTTTCAATGCAAAGCCCCAAAGATTGATGTTACTGTAAATTTTATGTTTTATGTTTCATTCATTTTTGTGACTGCTTATTCTGTTGGGGCCTGGAGCCAATCCCAGCTGACATTGGGCAAGAGGCGGGGGACACCCTGGACAGGTCGCCAGACTATCACAGGGCTGACACGTAGAGACCGACAACCTATCACACCTACAGCCAATTTAGAGTCACCATTATCCTGCATGTCTTTGGACTGCGCGGGAAAGCAGAGAAGGCCCGTGCTGACCAGGGACATGTGAGCATGCTAACCACTGCACCACTGTGCCACCAGCAATGTTTACAAAAGAAATCAGTCCGATTAGATAAACTCTTAAATTTACATTTAAGGTCATGCACAGCCACACAGGTGTTCTTACGTATTCTGGCTGATTAGAGCTCTGCAAAGGTTGAAGTCTGTGGAGCTACACTGGTCACCCAGATACATGAATGATTAATTTAAACGATAAAGGTGCAATTTCAAAAAGGTGCTGCTTCACTTTCAGGGTCCTGCTGTTGTTGCATGCTGCCTCACTGTCACACTGTCCTGGTTCACTGGGACACTTGAATAAAAAGGAGTAGCCATTAATGTTTTCCCACTATGACAAGTCAAAAGTACAGGTTGCACTTTCCTATGCGGATGTAGAAGTCTGAGGTGCAATAGGTAAAAACGCCTGTGTGTGAGCCACAGGCATGTGGAACTAAAACTATTCTTGTTTCCTGCTTCCTTTTGTCATGCCTTTTTTTCCTTGTCACATGAGCTGTAAAAGTAACTTCAGCCTTTTATTTAGCACTATTGTTATAATACATGTGACATGGAGATACATTTTAGTCACTTAACTTTTGTAAACCACCCTCCAGGATAGTGTGGTTCACTACCCTCTGTATGCACCAGTAAAGTCACACTTTATGGTGCGTAATATATACAGAAAATATGTGTGTCTGGTAATGAGAAAGATGCATAAAGAGAGAATATCTACAACCAAACCCACTATCAGACCAACTTGTATTATATTAAAAAAATAAATAAAAAGACATCCAATAACAGTGGCAACTTGAGGACACCTTTATTTGTATATACAGCTATTGTACACATAAAAACCCACAAAGTATTTGCATTCCAGGAACTTATGATACAAATCTCCATGTTTTTGGTTAAGTGAGTTTCACAGAATCGGCCTTCTTCAGGCGAATAAAACAAAAACACAAACCTTAAAATGAACATTTCCAAAGATTCCTTTACCTTTAAAGCTCGTCAGCTGATACTGTTTACTGTTATTTTTTTCTCTCTAAATGTTACAAACAGTATAATTTCTCTGTACATTATTAGTAAGTAATAGAGTAATGTTAATTTGTGAAGCAAATGCGTCATGGGGTGTCTACAGTGTTTCTACAGTCATCGTCTGCAATGGTTCATACAATATTCACAAGGAAGTAAAAGGTGAAAAAAAGATGAAAGATAATATTTTTCATATCAGTTCATGGTAAAATTACACACCCAACAATTTCTCAAAATCAAATGTTAAATATATTTGTTGGGAAAGTCTCATTTAAAGGGTGTAGACTGGTAAAAATAAAAGTAACAGACTCCTCTGAAGGATAATTTTAAAGGTTTGAGGTTTGTTCAAGGCATGATGTAACAATAACGCAGGGTGAAATAACAAATAAGCATCTTTTCTATGTTATTCTATAACTGTATTCATATCTCACAACTTATTAATACCAAAAAAGTAAAATGACGGGGGAAATCAGGCAGTTTTTTCCCCTGCACATTCATTCACACTGTAAAAAAATCCAGCATTATTGAGTGTTACTTATTAGTATCCACATTGTCTGGTAAAGTATCAGATCGCCTCTTCGTCATGGCTTGTTGTATTGATCTGGTCTAATAAATGGCGATGGTGTGATGATCACAATGTATTTACAAAACAATTAATTTATAAGAAAATGTAGTTACATATTCACACACCCCACAGATAAGTACTGTTAAGAGCAACACTGAATCATTTAGAAACATCTTCAGAAATGAAAATACCTATTGACACAAATGACATAATTTGATCCATTCATTGATCTTCTGCATCCCGCAACTATTTGAGATATATTATTACTCTCTATCATCAAGTACAAGTCAGGAAATAGACCTTAGTTATTGTCAGTGTTCTGTGTGAATTGGCAACTACAGTTTCAGGAAGTATTGTTCTTTTCGTTTTGGGTTCACATTTGATCAAACATCCAGAGGGCTCATGGCCTTGAAGCACTGATGCAAAAAGAGTCACATTAACATTCACTCTGTACACTGTCGTACAGAGTCCTCTAACACCTCTCTGGGATCCCCCCTCCTCCCGCCTGTCCCTAGCACCTGTCGTCCTCCTCTGTGTCGCTGAGAGGATCACAGCCCGCAGCAGAGGTCGTCTGCGCCAGGCGCTTCCGAAAGTGTCCGTTGGGGACCTGCCAGCCAGTCCGCAAGCGCGGGCGGGCCGTGCTGATGGTGTTTGAGCGTCCCAGGCTGCAGGCCACAGCCGCCTCGAAGGTCAACGTCTCCATTGGGCCGGAGGGGTCTGGGCTGTGGTCGCCCTCTTGGGAGGCAAGGAATGGCTCGGAGGGGTAGCGTCGAGGTGGGGACGGGTGACGGCCCGCCTCGCTTCGCCTCTCGCCTGTGCCCCCCTCTTGGGTTTCCCAGTTGGGCTTGCCCCGCCTCATGGTCTCTGGGCTGCCTTGCTCATCCTCGTCCTCGCCGACAGAGGGGTGTAGCGGGGAGTAGGAGATGTGAGGGCGAGAGCGGGTTGGGGTCTGTGACATGGGTCGTCGGCCGCTGGGGGTGCTGGACTCTGAGGTGGAGGGTACTGGACTGTCTGAGCTGTTGCCCTACAGACAAAATAGAAAAAACAGTGGCTTTATGGCTTGTGTTTTCCAGGACATCTTGTTAACCCAAAATCAAAAACACACATTTTTCCTCTTACCAGTAGTGTTATCTATCACTCTGGATTGTTTTGATGTGAGTTGTTGAGTGTTGGAGATATCAGCCACAGAGAGCACTCAGTTTGTGGCGCTCAAAGTGGCAAAAACCTACATTTAAAACTCAACAGCAATGTCTCTTTCCAGAAATCATGCCACAGTTACTCAACATAATCCACAGACCTTGTTGTTAGCAGCTTCATGTAGGAGGCATTTTCTTTCTACCAAACTACACCCACCAACTGTATAACCACACAGAAGAAAGTGTGCATTTATTCATGGACGAGAGGCTCGTGACTGTAAGGCTGAATCAAAATGTCCACTCTCTGGACTTGTACACTGAGCCCTCGCAGACTTCAGTTGTACATAGTTTGACATATTCACTGTCATCACATAAGTCTGAGAACGTAAAGACTGCAAGTGGCTGACAGACAGCCCTCGAGACTGTTTTACACCTTGCCGTGGAAACGGTCAACTATTGCTGCTGTCATATCAATACATATTTCATATAAGTTGATGAACAGTGCCCACTTAAGTCAACACCCAGTGAAGTAGACTTCACTAGTGGGTTATTAAATCAGTGAAGTCTGCACCCCAAGCTGACTCTCTGGGTGTCTGCAGAGAGTCCACTAGAGGCCCCTTGTGGAATGGATGAATTGTGGATTTTGACAGCCCTCAGCACTCCCAGACTTCCTGGGAACGCGCTCGCAAAGTCCGCCAGATGTTATTCGTTGCTGAGTGTAGTTCAGAAGAAAGAAAATAGTTCCTACATGAAACTGCTCACGACAAGGTCTGTGGATTATCTTGAGTAACCGGGTCATGATTTCTGGAAAGAGACACTGATATTTTCAAATGTATTTTTTTGGTGCTTTGAGCACCAGAAGCTAAGTGCCATCTGGTTCCATTATATTTGAGAGAAGGCAGATATCTCTATAGCCGATATCTCACTCATA